ACACTAACAATGCTCTTTCTAGCTTCTCTTTATGCTATACTTTCAAGGCCAGCCCTTTGCAGTTTATTAGGACAGCAATCCCCAACCTTTTTGGCACCAGCGACCAATTTCTTGAAAGACAATTTTTTGTCCATGGACTGGAGTGGGGGATGGTTTCCAGAAGAAACTGTTGCATTTCAGATCACCAGGCACTAGATTCTATGAGTGCATGACCTAGATCCTTCGCATGTGCAGTTCACAATAGGGTTCATGCTCCTGTGAGAATCTAATGCCACCGCTGATCTGACATGAGACAGAGTTTAGGTGGTAATGCTCACTCGCACAGCGCTCACAGGGTTGGGCAAATGCAGCTCCAGAAATCTTGGTGTTTACCTTGCAGGTATAGGATTTGGCAGCCTATAGCACAGTTAAACCAGACTGATGATGTTCTATCATGAGGAAGTGCTCATCATCTGAACTTGGCACAGAAGCCACAGTTCTGTTTAGTAGAATAGATGACATACTTTTACGCACACACAGATTTATTCTACTTTAGAATGAGTTATTTTCAAAGTGGTTTCATAATTTTTTTCTGTATGAAAGGTACGTTGCATTGCAGAGTCTGACCCCCTTGGGATCCCCAGGGGGATCAGATCAATCAGGTCATCTAAATTAGCCATCCATATGAGCACTTCAATATGCAATTTTTAAACATAAAACATTCTTTATACTTTTCCTCTAAATTACATACAGAATATATTATATAATTACTCTAATAGAAGGTAATTCACCATCTAAAACCATAGCTAATGATCTCTTTGAGACCAGGCTATTTGAGGGGTGAGGAAATGTTTTGAACTTGGATTCTGGTAAGGTTTGCACAATTTTGTAAAAATATACTAAAAAACCATTGAGTTGTATACTTAAAATAAGTGGATTTAATGATATGTAAGTTATACCTTAGTAAAGCTGTTTTTAAAAAAGTAATTTGGTATGATTTCCTACTTAAGTTCAATATGAGTGAAATTTTCCAAGCAGATTTTATGCTTAGCTAAATTTCATGTCTATGTTAAATACAGGTAGCAATCAGTAAGTACCTTTTATGATTGAGCTTCCCTTCACATATACCATCTCACCCAATTTGGAGGATTCCATTTGACAGACCCATTCACCCCCCGACCCCCTCCAAATCAAATAAGTTTATAGCTTTCCAGGGCAGCTTGAGCACCGCGGAGAAAAAGTAAAGTTTTAAAATTAACCCTAAATAGTTATGTAGCATGGTGATGAGAAGTCATTCCCTATTTAATTTGATAATTCCACAAAAGGAAATGAGGACAAAATTGGTGTTTCAAAGAAAATAATTTTGATATTTCTGTGTACTCAGATGTATAAACACATACCAGAGTGAGCCTAGTTTAATGGGGCAGACTACATTGAATGGTAGACCAACATGTAATGCATAGACACATATCTGCACAGGAGGTGGTCAGCAGTGGAGTCTGGCCACGGGTAATAGACAGATACCCAGATAGACAAGTAGTTGTATCAGGTATGTCCCAAACTTGAGTTCGAAGCAGTATTGTTGGTATTTAGAAATCTAAGACTAATAAGATAGTTTACTGAGATAGAGAAATGGATACAAGAATAAAAAACAGGAGGTCATTCTAAGTGGATTAAACACCACATAGAGGTTGACTACTGAGAACAATGGTGGCAAAATCTAAATTCTAATACTAAGGCAGAAGGTCAAAGTGAGCTAAACCACAGGCTGATCTGAAATTGATTTGCCTAAGATATTTACCTAGCCATTCTTAAATTCTTCCTGATTTGGTTCAGACCCCTGGCTAGGGATTCAGGTAGGGGCTAAGCGTCCCCAGCTGTAGGAAACAGAAAGCTATGAAGCTGGGAGCCTGATGAGTTACCACAGCATCTATAGCTTGGATGAGCAACCACTCAATCAAAGATTAATGAGACATTTAGGCTGAGTGGGACCTGCTTACATCTATGCCCTTCCCGCATGGCAGAAATCGTAGCTTAATTCTTGCCTTTTCTCTCTTCTTACACATGCTTTGTGGAGTTTGAGGTGGATATTTTCTTCCTTCTTTCCTTCCTGTTCTTTTCCTTTTTCTTTACTTTTCTTTCTTCTTTCTGAGGGAGTCTTGTTCCGTCTTCCAGGCTGGAGTGCACTGGCACAATCTCCGCTCACTGCAACCTCCATCTCCCAGGTTCAAGTGATTCTCCTGCCTAGGTCTCCTGAGTAGCTGGGATTACAGGCACCTGCCACCACACCCAGCTAATTTTTGTATTTTTATTAGATACTGGATTTCACCATGTTGTACAGGCTGGTCTCAAATTCCTGAACTCAACTCAGGTGATCCACCCACCTAGGCCTCCCAAAGTGCTGAGATTATAGGCATGAGCCACTGCACCCAGCCCACAAACTGGATACGTTCTAAAATGGACTTGACTGCTATATAATTTGGACTGGGCAACACTTGTCTATAATGTCCAGCTGAATATGCTCACCACTTTCAGATAATTGGAAACAAACTTTCTATGACATGGTGTTCATATTTATATCCAAAGCCCAAAGTTAAAAAAATTTAGAAAGCCATAACATAGAGTAAATAGTTTGGCAATTCATAAACTGCATTAAAAACCTGTCAATCTCTCTCACTCTGTCTCTCCATGAACTTAGGTCAGATAATAATAACAAACTCCAACCCTGTACTACTGTTCAGGCAGTCCTGCTCATGCACACAGTCCCACAGAGACTCCACAAAATCAACATTTCACCATCCTACCAATATAAGGAAAACAAAAAGAGACAAAAAACTAAAATCATGGTGGAATGAAAATGCTACATACTTATAGGCTATGAGTCCCCCAAACCAGAATGAAAATATGTAGGATGAGTGTCCAAAAACAATTTTGTGAGTCAATAATACAATAAATCAGGCCCAGATGTCACAAACACAATAAATCAATTGAAACTGCCAAACCGCTTCTCTCAACCTACTGGATTTAATTAAAACCACCACTTGGTTCATGAGAGGCCTTCTAATAAAACAGATAATATCAGTCAGGCTCAACCATCCACCGAACCTGATGTGGGAGACACAGCATGTTAAATTTTAATCTACAGGCCTGTTAAACATGGCAGGGTTTAGTACACATGTGCAGTGATGCACTGTCACCCCTCCAAGCCCTCCTCTTATCCTTGTGAAGTACTTATTTAGAATGCTATCCATCAGCCTTTGCCATTATAATATGGTAAGTGCCAGAAAACACTATAGGAATATTGACTTTCTGGTCCTTCTTTTTGTGTTAAAAATATAGCCAGTCATTGAAAACAGACTAGCATATTCAATCAAATGCATAAAACAAAGGGTGGCACTGTGCTTGGTGGTTTTACATTTTTTAGTGACTCTTCCTAGGACATCCTAACTCTCGCTCCAAGTCTATAAAGATCAGTTCCCAAAGACCCCATAAATGCCGTTCAGGAGAAGGAGAGAAAGAATAAGAGAAAACAACAACAATGAAACACTGGCAAACTATTATGAATTCACGAGACTGACAAAGGACGCAGGCTTGAAGGCCTCTTCTAGGACTGGAGGTTAGAAATCTCATTGGCCCCTAAATAGAAAAGATCACTTGAGTTTACTGCAGAAAAAAACACAGAGATACCAGCTCATGAGGTTGTTTTAACTTGAAAGATCACATTATTCATCATGAACCATCTCTAAACGCAGTCAGCAGAAGCCTCCCTGGCAGTTTCCTTGTGTATACTTGGCTCCATTTTATAAAGACAGAACAGACTATGTTTGGCATTTTTGCCTTGAGTTATTGACATGTTTTAAATTATGCTGTTTTATGTCCATTCTTAATAGAACAGAAATCTGCTACAAACGATCTTTATTAACAGACGGCCTCAGGTGCTAAGCAGACTCTCGATTTAACAACATCTCCAAACAGACAGGCAGAGAGCTTGCTAATAGGCTTTTCCAACCCTTTGGCTTCTGTGAGATGTAAGTGGATTATGGAGGTTTGTTTGTCATGCTATCTTTTTACATCACTGTCTGAGTAATTGCCACAAAGGCCGATTGCTTTGCCCTAATTAACAAAATGTACAAAATCCTAAGCATAGAACTTTTATTGATTAGCCATCTTCATGGGAAGCTTATGAACCTCCATGACTCCTGACCCGAGACAGATGCTCTTCATCATGTCACACACTTGACTCTAGTCTGTTCATATACCAAGGAATTGTCTTAGCACTTTGAGCTACGCAGAAAGTGCCTGAGAAAAACACATTTATTGGTTGTGGTTTAAAAACCAGTAGCCTTAGCATGAGACAACTTCTTATGCAGAATTCACCATTTGTTTACTATAAAACGTTTAATACTATCAGTCTTTTTTTCCCATGAACATTGATCCTTGAGAAGGTAATTTCAATAATAAAAAAAAAATACACGGTTAAGGAGTAGAGGAAAAAATAAGAAGAAAATGTCATTTGAAGTAAAAAACATGGGGAAGAAATAAGAGTTAATTTATTGTTCAACCACTATTTTGTTAACTCAATAATTATTTCGTCCTGATGTGGTGGCCCACACCTTTAATCTTGGCACTTTGGGAGACCAAGGCAGGTGGATCACGAAGTCAGGAGTTCAAGATAAGCCTGGCCAACATGGTGAAACCCCATCTCTACTAAAAATACAAAAATTAGCTGAGTGTGATGATGCATGCCTGGAGTCCCAGCTGCTTGGGAGGCTGAGGCAGGAGGCTCACTTGAACCTGGGAGGCGGAGGCTGCAGTGAGCTGAGATCGCACCACTGCACTCTGGCCTGGGAAACAGAGCAAGACTCCATCTCAAAAAAAAAAAGGCATTTAGTCGTTGATGCCTGTAATCCCATGTAATCCTAGCACGTTAGCAGACAGAGGTGGGCGGATTACCTGAGGTTGGGAGTTTGAGACCAGCTTGACAGATAGGGAGAAACCCTGTCTCTACTAAAAATACAAAGTTAGCCAGGCATGGTGACACATGGCTGTAATTCCACCTACTTGGGAGGCTGAGGCAGGAGAATTGCTTGAACCCAGAAGGTGGAGGTTGTGTTGAGTCAAGATTGCACCATTGCACGCTAGCCTTGGCAGCAAGAGTGAAACTCTGTCTCAAAAAATAAAATAAAATAAAATAAAATAAAATAAAATAAAATAATTTTAAATACTTCAGGTCGTGTGTGCCAGAAGACTATTTTAGGCACTGGGATGAACTAGGGAGGAAGAACTAAGAATCCTTGCTCCTGTGGAGCTTTTAATATTGAAGATGACACATTCTTTAAAAGCTCAGGTATTGAGGCCCAACATCCATTTCCATATTAGATTATACTTAATTTTTCTTAGTAACTCATTAAAAAATCCATAGGATAAGAAATTCTGTTTGATGACTTAGAAGCTTAAATTGACCATGGGAAATTAAGCCACATACATTACTTGTATGTAACATTCAGTAGGTACATGTTTTAGAAGGTGCTATAGACACTTTTTGGAGTTTGAGAAGACACAACCTGATCTTAAGGAACTCTAATTTAAAATGGGAAGGGGAACAAAAACATATTTTAATGCGCTCATACACAGAGACGGGTTTTTGACTAAATTTGTGTGTGTGTGTTTTTTAAATTTAAATCAACCAAGTAACTAGGTAATGATTGCAAAGCAACAGATATATTAAATCCAAACAGTTAAATGAGTTTTAGTTGGGAACTCAGCTAGAGCAACATATGCAGGATTGAACTAATTCAGAAAACTTAATGGCCCCGGGGCTAGATTATATTTATTTTCCCTTTTGTTTTTCTAGGATTAAATGGTACACAACTTTTTTGGTTTTGAAATCTGAAAAAGGTATCATTTATCTAATCTTAGGAAATCGTGCTGAATTTGGGGGAAATTTTACCCTGGAGTCTAGACATAGAGCTTTAAGCACATGCATAGCCATTCATTAACATGAAATTGAATTCAGGAGAAATGTGACGAGAATCTGATATGCGTCAAGCCTTTCTGCTCTATGCCAGATATTTATGATGAATGTCATAGCTGCTGTCTTCAAACAGAAAAAGCAAATATCAGAGCAGAGTAAGCCTAAAGGGTTTGGCAGGTCAAGGTCAACGGGCTGAACAGAATATGGTGGGTGGCTCTTGGGTATTCTTACATCTACAAGGAGAGATTATGCCAGGAAAAGGCAACCTCTACAGTATCAGCAGCTCCTCCCACTAGCCAATGGGGAATTAAAATAGAAGATAAAGATGGCCTTCTTTTGGATGCACAGCAGTAATAAGAGCAACACCAATAATTAATGCAAGCTATTGTTTGTTGAGGGCTAACCTTGTTCCTCATTCCCTTTGTTAATACTTTACATTCATGAACTTCTTTAAAGAGCCCTGAGAAGTAGATATTACCATTGTCTCTATTTCATATGTGAGGACACAGAGAGAGAGTGGCAATTTGCTCAAGATTGCCAAGCCAGTAAGGGTACCATCAGTATTAAAACCTAGAAGTAAGTCTGAAGCCTAGTCCCTTATCCATGGCACTAAATTTCCAGGGCCTTGATTGATTCACTGACATTTTCGGTGGTTTGGAAGGAAGGAGGCAGTCATTCATCACTCTTTACCCAGCCTGTTGTTTTCCCTGGATTTTGCAAGAGATCATGTTGAAGGTAAACTGGTTATCACCTGCCTAGATGCCAGTGATTTACAATTATTTCTTTATTAAGAAAATGTTTAGTGTGTGAGTGGTCTCTCTCTGAAAAAATGCCAACAGAGAGGCCTTGTCAGATTTTTGGCAGAGACACATTTAAACACATAAAAACAAGTTTAAACACTATCATTTATGCATAATTCTCTCTTGGCGTCATCTCTCACTTGCCACAATTTGCAGCCAGAAAACACTTATTTCTACTTTTCTTGCTCTAGAAATAATCCAGCCTTAAGTGGATCTAATTCCTTCCCAGAAGAGAAACAGCCTTGTCAGGACTTGGTTGTGTGTGCTGTGTTTGAGACATCAAGGTTTCCATTTATGGCACAGCTGCACGGACTCCGAAAGCTGGTGCTAAGCCAGAGCTCTGTACCCACTGAGATCCGTAGTCTGCAATGATAAACACACAGCTGCCTGTGGCGAGGGCCACAGGCATAATAGATGGCCACATCTCAACTAGAGTCAGGCAAAGCCTACACAAATCATTAATCCAACTGCTTATATGTTAAATATCACAAAATGTGTACGAAATGGTGAGCTGTCTCAATGGAAGGAAGGGGAAAGGCAGAAGCAATTTAAGGAAACAGGAGAGTAAGTGGCTGTAAGTCCTTTGCAAAGTCCTGCTCTAGAGCTGATTTACTGCCACCAAGTCCTCTTGCTGCAAATAGTTCATAAAGCCTATGACCTGAGTACTTGCCCACGGGACCACAATAACATTTATCTAGCATAAATTAATGTGTTTCAGCCACTAATTCAATTTGGCTGTCTCATTCTTCTGGTTTTGGCAAAGCCTAGCCTTGCTATAAAGTCACTCCGTGACTCACACGAATGGCTGTGTTTGTTAAGGAGTCACACACCACTAGGAACAAAGAGTGCTATTAGTTGAGTAGTCATAAAATATACCTCCCGAGCACATTTGGAGCTGTGCTAATTGAAACTTCCTCTTTAGAGGAGCCTGATCAAAACCAGCTGTAGGAGTCAAGCAGGAACAGATTTCAACATTACATTAAAAGCCCAACAAATTCAGTAAGAGCAGCCTCTGAGAGAAGAGAGCATTCCAGCCTGAACAAATGTTCTAATTGCCTCCTGACATGCTGCAAAGAAAGCTTGTGACCTGAGCCTGTAGAGCTGTGGAGAGAAACTTCTCCATAAGATTTGAAAAAAAGCAACCTCTAGTGCAGTTATCCTCATAAAATTCCAGACCTGCCAAGATTCTCAAGTAACACATGTGAAAACCCGCAAAAGCTGAGTGCATTTAGGAAAATGAAGTGATATGTTGTTCTGAAAGGGGAAAAACAGAGCTTAAGTATTTTCAATGGTAATATAACCTTTTATGGACATCCCTTTAATATGAAAAACAAAAACATCCAACTCACAGAGGAACAAACAAACAAAGTACAAATAAGAAACAAAAGTCTGGATGAATCACAAAGAAAAGACACAGACAATATTTAAAGACAAAAATTGAGAACTATCTCTTCCCCTTTGGCGGCTTGTGAATTTCCTGTTCCAAGACATAAGGGCTGCATTCTGCCAATGTGTATAAAATAAAATGCATCCGTAGGTTTGCTGGAAATGTAGAGTAATCATGCATTTTCTGTGTTTGCTTTACTTGAGTGTGGTTTAGCCATTTGTAAAGGAAGCAGTCATTGATATATAAATATAAATAGCAAATCTATCCATCAAACGTGAATTGTATTTAATTAGATGAGTGGAATGCTTGGAAATGTTATAAGCAAGTTTTACATTTTAACACCTTTAAGTAGCATATAAATTAGAAAGGATCGCTCATCTTTATAATTTATTTACTCATCAATTTAATGGAGTGTCTAGTTTTGGAGCTATGTCACATTGATTCTTCAAGATACTGGGTGGAGGAGGTTTATTTACATAGGTATAGAAAGGACCATTATGTTTGATGTCGTAAAAGAGTGAGAGTAACTTAAACGTAGTATGTGAATTACAGTGATTATTCTGGAGGATTTAATTATAGTCCCACAAATAATAACCATGAAAGATGAAAGATGCTCCATTTTTGTCCTTTTTTGGGGACTATGTTAAGAGGCTAACCTGTCCTTTCTCCTTTTGTTTTTCTTTTATCCCAAAGGAAGATATTAAACTATTAACAACTTACTGGGTTTAAAGGCAAAACAAAACAAAACAAAAAGCACCCACACAAAAGAAGAAATCACATGGTTACATGGTTATGTAACTGTTTCATTTTTATGTTAAAAGCTTGCATCCAGAGTTTAACAGACTGGCATAAAATGGGGCCTTTGGTACACGTGAGGTGGTCTTCTGAATTTGTGAAGATACCAGTGGAAAGTATTTCTGATGCTGCTTTATTATTCATCTGGCTTGTCAGATACTGAATCATTCTCAATGCATAATGTAATTCACATTTCGATGTTGTGCCCTTGATTTTATTTTTGTTTATCCAAGTACTATAGACATTAGGGAGTCTTATATTTAGTGACCTTAAGCTGGATAAAGAAGGTTGAAGAGTTGGAATAAAATCTCAAAAAATAATTCAAGATTAAGTGATGAAAAAAACATGTAAAATATAGCCAAACATAATAATATTCTGATTTAAAATAGAGCGAAGAAAATAGTCATTATCCCAGCTTATCCCAATTTTCCTACTAAAATATTATTTTAAAAACTCAGAAAGGTTGAATTCTCATATTGCCACCAAAGGTAGACTTGAAGTTAATTAATACTACAATGAAGGAGCTTTCAATTATCTTAGAATTAAAACAACAAAAACTAAAATGACTTCCAGGTTCCTTATAATTAGAAACAGTGGAGACCAGTCCACTGCAGAATGGTTTAAAAACCTTTACTTCTTCCCTACTGCTTTCCCCTGGTTCAGAAAATTGTCTTTACTAAAACCAGTCAGGCAGCTGTTCTCAGGACTGAGGGAGTTTCATTCTGAAGCAGCACAATACTATCTCCTCCTTCCTTTCACACCATCTGTGATTTCTGACTGTGAACAGAAAGAGATTGTCTACTGGACCTTGCAGAAATCTAAGCACAGCGTCAGTGGGTTGCTTTGGGAGGTGGTGTTGAACATTCAAGAATTAAAATGCAAAGCAAATGCAGGGTCAGGACCAAGCAAAGAATTCACCTCAGGCCAGCAGGACAGCAGTAGACAAAATTTGATAAACCCTGGGAATTAGATTAGGAGTTAAGCATGATCTTCTCTATAGGAGGAGAAATAGACCAGAAGCCATGAAATTGTCCAAAGGATAAGCCCGGATAGATATTTTCTTATAAGACAAATTCTTGAATTTCACCATGAACTATTTGAAAAAACACTGCAAAATGAGAAAAAATATTGTCATCTTAAGGAT